AGATTTTCTTTTCTGGAGACACTTCAGTGTAATTTGGTAAAATGTGAATTGCTTTTTAAGAATGAAATGAAAGAATAATTAGTGGGCGTGAACTATCAATAACACCCCCCTCCCCTGCCCACCTCACAGTAACAGCCCGACTCGCACTCCCCACTCTGCCATCTGACCCTCATTGCCCTCACCCTGTTGTGCAACTCTCACCTGCCTCCCCAAGCCAATGTCTCCTGGGAAGCCTCCTATTCCCAGACTAACAACAAACGTTCACTTCACATTCTTTTTTCCTGGTCTCCGATCCTTCTTGTGTAAGGGTTATGTACAGGGAACGCTACGAATGAGCTGTAAATTCATCCACCGGTAAAGCAGATGTTAGACTGTGTGAAATGTTGTGGGGGCTTATTATAATGAAGCCTGTGGGGTGGAGGTTGAGTGTGTTCCTTAACATACAGTGAATGCAGAAGCAAAATATTTGCTCAGTTCATCCGGTTTTCCTTGTGATCCACCATGAGCTTCTCATTCTCTCGAGGTCCCACACTCACTTGACTTACTCTTTTCCTTTCTAAATACCTGTATAAACTCCAGCCACCGTTCCTCTCCTTCTCTTCATTAACCTTTTCGTCATTTTCTGCTGTTCTTTATATTCTGACCCAGTCACCTGATCTGCCAATCATCTTTGCACAACGATATGCTTTTTCCTTAAGTTTGATCACAGAAGTCCCTACAGTGTGGAAACAGGCCCTTCGGCCCAACAAATCCACACTGACCCTCAGAGCATCCCATCCCCCCCCATAACCCACCGAATTTACACATCCCTGGACACTACGGGCAATTTAGCACGGCCAATCCACCTAACCTGCATATCTTTGGACTGTGAGAGGAAACCGGAGCACCCGGAGGAAACCCATACAGACACGGGGAGAATGTGCAAACTCCACACAGGCAGTCATCCAAGGGTGGAATCGAACCTGGGCTCCTGGCACTGTGAGGCAGCAGAGTTAACCACTGAACCACTGTGCTGCCCCTGTGGATGGTGGATCCCTTGTGTAGAGTTTTTATTTATAACAGGAATATATTTATTCTGTGTATTCTCTAATATCCCCATTAATGTCTGCCACTGCATCCCTATTAAACTATCCCCTAGCCTACAATCCCAGTTCACCTTAGGTAGCTCAGTTTTCATGCCTACAGAGTTGCCCTTATTTAAGTTTAAAACACAAGTCTTAGACCCACTCCTCTTTTTCAAATTGAATGTTAAATCCAAACATGTTGTGGCTGCTGCCACCTGGATGTGCATTTACTTGGAGGTCTTGAATTAAGCTTATCACATGATACAAAATAACACTGGATGGATATGAGGGAAATAAATTTGCAGTGATAGAGTGGATAAATGGGGCCGGGTAATCCAAGATGGAGGACGGGAATAAGTTGCAGCTGTAAGCATTCCTCCTTTTTTGAGGTATTTTCAGTCTTGGAGCTGATTTCCTTGAGTTCTTGGAGGAGTAATTACCATTTTATAGGCTGTTGCATTCTTTTGGAAATTTGGGGAAAACAAAGCGATAGAAACAACGTCTCTTTAAAAAAGGAGCAAGACAGAGCAGGCACGGACCAAGTGGGAGGTGAGGAAAAACCACAGCAGTGAACGTTCACAGCTGTCTGCCTCTGCTGTACAGTTTCAAGTATCTCTGGACATCAGAGTTCATTCTAAGAAAAATAAACAAACGGTGAAATTCCTAAGGGGCAACTTTTTCACACAGAGGGTGGTACGTGTAAGGAATGAGCTGCCAGAGGAAGTGGTGGAGGCTGGTACAATTACAACATTTAAAAGGCATCTGGATGGGTACATGAATAGGAAGGGTTTCGAGGGTTATGGGCCAATAGCTGACAAATGGGACTAGATTAATTTAGGATATCTGGTCGGCATGGACGAGTTGGACTGAAGAACAAAAACAAAGTTGCTGGAAAAGCTCAGCAGGCCTGGCAGCATCTGTGAAGGAAAAAACAGAGTTAACGTTTCGGGTCCGGTGACCCTTCCTTAGAACTGAGTTGGACTGAAGTGTTTGTTTCCATGCTGTATAACTCTATGACGCTATGACTGCAGATTCTATGGGGAATAGGCTTTGACTTGATGGGCCAAATGACTTTCTTCACTGCCGTAATGACAATGAATCTTATGTAGCACCTTTCACAACCTCAGGACCTCTGGCAGTAACTGCAGATTGACCTCTCAAAGTTGAGCGGTTGGGGCTATAAGAATTGGACAGTTATGTGCATGAAAATGGGGATGGTAGTACCTGTAATCCAGCAGTCCCTTCCAAAGAAAAGGGTCAAAAACAATGAATTCAGAAGTCTGAAATGTTCCAATGCCCAGAACTAACTTCATTCGACCTCGAATAAGCACAGAATGGACAGTGGGGATTTATACTCCATCTGTTTTGCAGACCATGCTTGCTGTGCAATAATTGAGCACAAATACACCAGCCGATCCCAGAATTCATTACGAGAATGAAAGATGTGATGGGGTTTTGAGGCATTCTGCAATTTTGGCTTGCAATGATGAGACTGAGTGTGGCAGTGTTTTTAAAAAAAAACAAGAATCTGCTTCTAAAGAGGGTGTCCGCACAATTTGGAAAATCCCTCCTTCAGTTCGGTTTCCCAGACATGCAGGAGGTTTGGAGGATTCATGGTAAAACACGCAGCCTGGTGCTGAGGGAACATCACATTAAACAGTCACATTCAGCACCCATTCACAAGGAGGCGCGAATATGATAAAGCATCAGCTTGACTTCTGAAAATGAACATTTCTGTCCCTGCACTAGGGGAAAGGAAGGATTGTTCCAACATTTGAAAGAAATACTTTGGAGCCTATTTGCTTATTTGTGTTTGCACTATAAGAATCTCGGTATTAGTTTGGGGAATTCTGGTAAACAGCTGGAGACTGGGTAATGACAGAGGAGGAGATTGAATAACATTAATACATTGCTACAGGAAAAGTTTGTGCTGCAGGTCTCCAGTGTCAGCTAAATATTGGTGTGCTAAATGTTTGGACAAGGAAGATCCCAAGTTCAGTAACTGGAGTTACATAGAAATGATAAATCAGACAAAGCCAGTGGTTATCCTCCGCATAAATAGTAAACCAAATACCATGTGCCTGTCTTTATGTGGGATTACATAGGATGGATGCCCTTGGACGAAGGCCATTCTATCCATCCAGAACCTGCTGGTGTTTATGCTCTATTCGAGTCTCTTCCCAACTTTTCGAATCTAAATCCAGCATTGTAACCCTCTCTTCTCTTCTTCCTTGTTTAGCCTCCCCTGAATACTGTTTGATTCAACCATTCCTCCACATTCTCTGAGTAAAGAAGTCATGTTCTCATTTTCTCTATTCCCACTCTTCTATTCGAAACAATACTTAAATGTGGATCCGGTCTTAGTGGCCAGCCCTAGCCATACGCTCCACAGCCCTTTGTGTAAAAAGATTTCTCCTTCTCTCTATCCGAAAACGCTTCCACCTAATCTGAAGTTGATGTGCACTCAGTCTGGAACCGTCAATCATTGGGACACAATCTGTTTCTATGAGTACTGTCCTAACTCATCATAACTTCAACCATCAATTCTCCTAAGAGAAACAGCTCCAATTTTTCTTCAAAATGTG